TTTCTTTTCAGAAGTAGGACATTACATGTAGTACCCTTGTCCTTTGTAAAAAGCTGAATGCTTTCCTTAACCTTGATTCTACCTAGTGAACAAAGACCATGGAAGCCTTTTAAAAATGTTTTATTATAAAGACTTTCAAGCATAATCAAAGGTAGACAGAATAGTTTAGTGAACCCACATGTACGAATCACCCAGCTTCAACAATGATCAATTCATGGCCAATTTTATTTCATTTATACCCGATCTACTTCCTCCTCATCGTGTAATTTTGAAACAAACTCCAGATATCATACCATTTCATCAGTAATTATTTCAGTTTGTAATTCTAAAAAATCAGGGCTTAAAAAAAACAGTCATAGTGCTATTATCACACTAAAAAATTAACCGTGATTCCTTCCTTAATATTATCAAATAGAGTTCAAATCTCTAATAGTCTTATTAAGTGTCTTTTTTTTTTTCTCTAAATGGCGTCATTGTGGTTGATTGATAGATCTTTTAGGTCTCTTTTAATCTTTAAGCCTCCCCTCCATATCTTTCTGCAACCTCCCTCTCTCTCTTCCGTGCAAATTATTTGTTGAAGAAAACCAGTTGTTGTCCTACAGTTTCTCATAGTGTGGATTTTGCTGATTGCCTCTCTGTGGTGCTGTTTAATGTGATCTTTGTCTTCCATATTTTTTTGTGAATAGCCAGTTAAATCTAGTTGTTATTGTTGTTAGGTTCTATTGAGTTGCTTCAGACTCACACCGACCCTGTGTACAACAGAACGAAACACTGCCTGGTCCTGTATCATCCTCACAATCGTTGCTACGTTTGAGCCCATTGTTGCAGCCATTGTGTCAGTCCATCTCATTGAAGGTCTTCCTGTTTTTCGCTGACAGTCCACTTTACCAAGCATGATACTCTTCTCCAGGGACTGATCCCTCCTAATAACATGTCCAAAGTACATGAGATGAAGTCTCCCCATCCTCTCTTCTAAGGAGCATTCTGGCTGTACTTCTTCCAAGGCATCAATTTTTCAGTCTTCCTTATTCATTGTACAGCACTCGCACACATATGAGGAGATTGAAATGTGCACCTTAGTCCTCAGGATGACATCTTTGCTTTTTAACTCTTGAAAGAAAGAGGTCTTTTGCTACAGATTTGCCCAGTGCAGTGTGCCATTTGATTTCTTGACTGTTGCTTCTGTGGACGTTGATTGTGGATCCAAGTAAAATGAAATCCTCGACAACTTCAGTCTTTTCTCCATTTATCATGATGTTGCTTATTGGTCCAGTTGTGAGGATTTTTGTTTTATGTTGAGGTGTAATCCATACTGAAGCTGTATTCTTTGCTCTTCATCAGTAAGTGCTTCAAGTCCTTTTCAGCTTTTAGCAAGCAAGGTTGTGTCATCTGCATATCACAGGTTGTTAATGAGTTAAATCTAGAGGCTTGATGAAATTCAGATTGATGTTTTGGCAAGACTATATAATAGGTGGTGTGGTTTTCTTCCATCAGGTACATAATATAATGTCTGTCTCTCTTTTTGTGATATTGCAGCTATTGATGTGTAATACCTAGAGCCATTAATTAATTAGGGGTTGTAAAATGTGATATTCTAATGTTATCATTTTTTATTTATTATCTGGAATATTTCTATAAAGGAAAACTTCCCCATATTTGCTAGATGACCCTTTGTTTCTATAGGAGAGATAGGAAAAATACTTGAGTCTTTCATTTACCACTTAAAAAAAAAAGAGTTAGTTTTCTAGGATCCTCCAGTGTTCCTCTATCCCTAAAGGAATTTTGCAAGGATATGTCTAGTGGTTGGCTTTTCCCCCCCGTGGATGTCTGGAACTTGACCCCTTTCCATCTTCAGTCTAACGTCTTCTTGCAGTTGAGTTATATTTTCTTCTATTATTTGTTTAATCAGTGCCTTTCTTCCATCTGCACCGCTCCCCAGCTCCTGTCATGAACATTTGTTCTCCTGAATCTTTCTTCCATGTTATACGTGATCTTGTTATACATGAGTTCTACCTCTTTGTAGTTTGCTCTGTGTTTCTGCATGTTTCTCCTGCTTGATCTTTCAGACAATTAATTTAAGTCTCAAAAGTATCTATCCAATTCTTGAATTAGGCTGTTGAGTTTTTATATTCATAAAGCAGGTTTTTGCCATTTAAATGAACATTCTACAGGTTCTGGGGATTAGGATGTGAACATCTTTGGGGAGGCGGTTTATTATTCTGTCTCCCACACATCTTAACAATATTAAATCTTCCAATCCATAAACAAAGTATATCTCTCCATATATTTATGTCTTCTTAAATTTCTCTCAGTTTTCAGTGTGCAGTTCTTTCACTTCTTTTGTCAGGTTAATCCCTAAGTATTTCATATTTTTTGATCCTTTGTAAGTTTTGATGCTTTTTTAAATTTCTGGTGTGAGCTGTTCCTTGCTAGTATATAGAAATACAGTTGGTTTTTGTTTATTGATCTTGTTTCCTTCAACCTTGCTAAACCTTGCTAAAATTCATTTACTAGGTCAATTGAATTTAGGTAGGTCCATTTAATTTTCCACATACATGATCATGTATGTCATCTGTGAATAAAAGAGTTTTATTTCTTCCTTTCCAATCTGGATGTCTTTTATTTCTTTTTCTTGCCTGAAGACAATTGTTAGAACCTCTAGTACAGTGTTGAATAGAAGTAGTGAGAGCAGGCATCCTTGTCGTTTTCTGTGTCTTAGTGAGAAAGGATTCAGTCTTTTATTTCAAGTATAATGTTAGCTATAGGTTTTTCATATATGCCCTTTATCAGGTTGAAGTTCCTTCTATTATTGTTTTGCTCAGAGTTTTTTAAAATCAGGAACGGATGTTAGATTTTGTCAAATGCTTTTTCTACATTTTCTCATCCATTGAGATAATCATATGGTTTTCCTTTTTTAGTTTGCTAATATGGTGAGTTACATTCAGTTCAAAATACTTCTTAATTTCCCGTTTAATTTATTTGACCCATGGGTTATTTAGTAATAGAAGTATGTTCTTTAGTTTCAGAATATTTGGGGATTTTTCACTGAAGGAAATACTGCAGGGCTTTGCATACCCTCCATGACATCCAAAATGTTATTTGATCTTTAAATTTGGAATTTAAAGTGAATTAGAGAAACAGCAGTAGGAAATCTTGAATTTAAATATAGCATTAGAGTTCTAAACCTCACCCATGAAACTATAAGGTAGAGCGTTATTGCTCAATAGAATGCAGTAACTGTATAAAAATATACTTGAGTTGAGTTAGGCATGTGTTAATGTTTTGAGCTTTGAACATTAAGAGTGAGTTTACGATTTCATCTAGTTATTTACAGATCATACCAGGATATTACCTTACAGGATTTATTAATGATATTAAAGCCACCAGTACAGTGTAGTCACTTAAGGTGCAAATCCCACTCTAATGTATATATCACTCATGTCCTCTTTGACATTTAATTGCCTCAACTCCTCATTAGAGCTCAGTAGATTGGAACAACAGAACAAATGTAACAAGATAAAATATAATAGGGATAAATCCAAGGTTTTAACATTAGGTTCAGATGAAGAAAGGGAAAGTATGATTTACCAGCAACCTATGTGATGAAGTTTCAGGAGGTTTTATAGATATAAGATCAAACTTTTCAAGGCACTGCCTCGCAAAAGATTAATGCAGTTGTAGACTGCTTTACTGCAAGTAATGTGTAATTAATTAGACCACACCAAGATCATTATGATCAGTTTTGGGCACCATATTTTAAGAGTGACATTGACAAACTGTAGCTCCTCCAAAGAAAACACCAGGTTTTCAGACTTAGTGGATCCATTGAGACTGAGGAAACTGCCAAATGTATTGTCCTGAAATAATCTTTAAACCTTAACCTGAAACTGTTCCATGAAGTCATCTGTAAACATAACAATAGTTTAGCTCAATTAATAAAGAATGTCGGCCTTAAACATTTTGCTCTTTTAAAGAATTACCTATATGTGATCAAATTGACAGCAGTAACTCTAAAGCACAGATGAGAACTTTAAGGGACCTGGAGAGTGAAAGTTAACGATGGTGAAACAGTATAGGTAGAGATGAGAATGGTGACATGGTGTGAAGAATGTAACCAGTGGCGTTGACCTGTACATGTAGAAATGGTTCAATGGTTATATATTTTGTTGTGTATCTTTTCACCAAAAATAAAAATAAAAAAATAAAGAGTGAGAGCATTTTGACATATTTTCTGAATCAACAGAGAATACCATGTACTGGTGGGAATCTGATATATATTTTGAATTTTTTAAATGATGATAAATAAAGCAGAGAATACCATGTACTGGTGGGAAT